TAGAGGGAGCTGTTGTGGTGCGGGTTCGGGATGCAGAGACCCAGGGCAGGGAGGGAGTTGGGAGGGGCAACTGTTAGACTCCGCTCCACCGGGCAATATGCTTCATTAGCTTATTACTGTTATTTCGATCGGCTATCTTATGCACTCCTTTGCGAATGTAGTGGCTGCATGGGGTAGATTTGAGGGGTCGTAGGTGAAAAAGAGGGGGAGAGGTGATACTGGTTTGGGCCGCGTGGGCTTGGAATAAGAGAGGAGTTGGGATAGAGCTGGCGAGGGGAGGGGGTGCAGTTACGGGAGCTGGAGAGGACTAAGTGGTGCTTTGGAAGCAGAAATTGTAGAAGGGAAAGGGTTCATTTTCAGCCGAGGCACGGTTTTCGTAACACCATTTTCTTGTTTCCCCCCCTTGGTTCCATGCCCTAGCATCTTTCACGATTTCTTTTTTAGGAAGAAATTAAGTTTTGTGATTTTTTTTAGTGTGCGCGGACGAAAAGTGATGTCGCTGCCAGGAACATTCAAAAAATTACTTGCTTTGGCCGGCGGAACGACAGCTGCCGTTTTTTCCGTCAACTACGTAAGTTGAAATGTTTTTTTTTTGGTGATTATTAAAGTTGAATTGTTTTTCTTCCCAAATCACATAATTTCTTTATTTCTTTCTGCCTTTCATCTTTCTTTTCTTAAAAACTTGTACACTACACACACACACACACACACTCTCTAGACCTTTATCTAAATTATCTTTGTTACCACAATCGTCGTACTGACGAAATCCAATTGTGGTAACGATAAGAAATGTATACGACTTAATGGACCGAAACATTTCTTACCTATTACAAATATTTTAATACTTCCCTTTCCCCTATTTTCACTTCATTCTCCTTCTCTTCTTTTTCCTCCTCCTCACTTTCTACCTTACCTTTAAAATAGTTAAATCCAGTGGCCCTCTTAAGAAGCACAACTCTAATTTTTCGATTTTTAAAAAAAACTTGAAGACTGTTGAAGTGAGATGGAAAATTAGGTGATCAGCGAGGAATAAATTTTTCGCGCTTTTCGCAAGAAGCGTAGCACCAATAATCTGGCAAAAAAAGTCACTACAAAGAAAAATGCAAAAGAAAGACCGATAAACTGTAGATGTATTGCCAGGCTGATTTTTTCCGAAGCACAAAGACCGGTGATGAGTGGGTAGCACGTCATTCCGGAGTGGCTGGGCTCCCTCCTCGCCCACAACCATTTCCGAAAAGGGGCTCCGTTCACGGTATTTATACTTGCTCTTGCTTTTTTATGCGTTTTGTACTGTGTAACAACAGCATAAAACTCATATTGTCACGGGGTTGTCTGTGTGTCTGTGTGTGTGCGTGTGTGTGTGTGTGTTTCCGAGTGCATTTTGTCCCATACTTTTAACTCAGGAACCACAAAAGCTAGGCTGCTGAAATTTTAGTAGAGTGTTCTCCGACAGTGTATAACCATGCAAATTTAACTTCAGCCTTCCCCTGCCCGCGGGTAACACGTACGGCCCGGAAAAAGTTTTGTCGGGGAAAATTATTATCTTGGGAACCATGGCAGCTAGAGAGAGAGCTGAAATTTTGTTCGGTATTGTCTAAGGTTCCGTTTTCCTTTTTGTTGATACCACCTCTGCGAATTCACAGATTGCTCCAGAGCAAGCAGTTTGTCTCGCCCATTATCATTTATTGCTTTTGAGATCACAACGATTGCTTTGTACTGTTGCAGACGGGACAACTGTACAAAATGAATTATCAAATTGATGAGGCCGATGCATTTACAATACGACAGGTCAACAAAGCTTATGCTGAACTTCAAAAGGTAAACAGCGTGATTTTCGTGGTGTACCGTTGGAATGAGTGGAAATTACTCATATCCGAGTAGTGCCAAAATTATTCGCGTGGAAAGCGATAACTTAAGCCAAAAACGTGATTTTTGTCGCCAAAGCTAACTACGAAAAGAGAAAAGGTTTGGCATAATAACGCAAAATTGAAACTAGCTTCAGCTGAGTTAAGCTGATCTCCCTGTTTTTTTTTTTTAAGAAGTGCTAGTCCAATCAAAAATACTTTGATGTTTGCGTGTTTCGTGTTTTTATATATTTAAAAAAAAAGGATTTTTTTTTTT